CCCCAAAACCCCAAAACCCCAAAACCCCAACACTTTGAGTAAAATTATTAGCAGGAAAATTGAAAGATATAGATTTAAATATAATAAGGATAATGGTAGAATAGCAAACATAGGAGAAAAGAGTTATGTCAACTGAAGTTAGAGATGACAACCCATACTCTAGACTTATGGCCTTGAAGAGGATGGGAGTGGTTTAGAACTATGAAAACATTAGAAAATTCACAGTCTTAATAGTAGGAGTTGGTGGAATTGGGTCAGTGGTAGCAGAGATGCTTACCCGATGTGGCATTGGCAAGTTGATTCTCTATGATTACGACAGAGTTGAACTGGCTAATATGAATAGAATGTTTTATCTTCCAACTCACGAGGGCTTGGCTAAGGTTGAAGCTGCTAAGATTAGTCTAATAAACATCAATCCTGATGTTGAGATAGAAACTCATAATGAAAATATATGCACAATAGAGAACTATGAGAAGTTCAATCAAAGAATACTCAATGGTTCTCTAACAGGAGGAAGAGTTGACCTTGTTCTCTCATGTGTAGATAACTATGCAGCCCGTATGACAATTAATAAATCATGCAACAACCTTAACCAACTATGGTTTGAGAGTGGAGTATCAGAGAATGCTATGAGTGGGCACATTTAGTAATTAATACCTGGCGAGTTAGCTTGTTTCGCTTGTGCTCCACCCCTGGTGGTTGCCAATGATGGAGATGAAAATGAAATTAAGAGAGATGGTGTATGTGCTGCCTCATTACCTACTACAATGGGTATCATTGCAGGATTTCTGAGTTAAACAGTATTGAAATTTTTACTATAGTTCGGAGAAGTTAGTCCTTTTCTTGGCTACAATGCCTTCAGTGATTTCTTCCCCAAATACCCATTGACTCCTAACCCTGATTGCACTGATAAGAAATGCAAAGAACTCTAGCAATATTACAATGATCATCCAGAGGAGAGAAGGTTAAAAGAGGAGAAAAAAGTTGAAGAAAAAGCATCAGCTCATGATGATAATGAATGGGGCATTTCTATTGAAGGAGGTGAAGATGAGCAAGCTCCACAATAAGAAACATTTGTAGAGGTAAAGAAAGAACAGAGCTTAGCAGATTTAATGAGTAGCATGAAAAAACTTCAAACTAAATAATGAGGATATAAATGTTCATGAATATGCACATTGAGATAAATTTAGTGAGTTTATAAGTAAACTTAATTAGAGTTAAGAAATTGTAAAGTATAAATAAGCTAAGCAATCTAACATTAATTATTTTCATTTTCCTGTATAATATTCATTGAATCTATTGGCCATCTCAGTTTTATCTAAGACTCACTAGCATTTTCTAAATAAAGTTAAGACTTTATAATTTGGCTTACTAGATAATTGTCCTAAAGCTATTTACTAGTTTGATTATTTTAAGCGAAATATTCACATTGCTGGATTATCATCATGCAAATTTCTTCGCTTGCATATTACTTCAAACCTTTTAGAAGTAGTTCTCCATATCCAGCAACAACAATTAATCCATGTAAATCTGAAAAGATTTTGATTTGATTGACATCTTCGAGGAGTTTAGGGTTTAAAACGAATATATATTTAACTGAGAGCAGTATAACCTTTTCCAAGAATGATTGATAGTGAATTGGATTGATATTTTTCAAACAGATCTAAACTTTATTTGGATCTATGCAGCCTTATTTCGCCATTTCCTAGGATGATTAGGCATTTACCTTGCCAAGAATAGTTAGGGTATTCTTTTGTAAGCCTGATAATTCTATTATTAGTTCTTTAAATATCGAAAGAATAGTCTTTTTAGTGTTTCTATCTATGTTGTTTTCGTAGTGAGTTACCATGTAGCTGATTAATCCCTCGAAGAAACTTTAATTAGTACCAGAGTAAATAAATTAAGGGTTGATTTCTACAGAGGTTTAGAGTAGCTTGAAGAAGCCTGCAAATATTCTAATCACATTTTTCTCTATATCAGATGTATCTGATTGAGGAATCTTAGCAATGCCCATTTTCTGCATTAGGTCGAATAAAAGTTAGTCAATTAGGTCGATTCCTTAATCTTTTAAAATAGTTAGAGAATAGTTCAAAATCTAAAAGGTAAAATTAATAAAGTGATAAACTTACAGTTAAGAACATTTCTAATCTTTCAAATTCAATTCTTTGGATGAAGGAACTAGCCATAAAAGTGAACATAGGTTTAACTTCAACGCCTAGAAGATTGACATTTTTCTGAAGGTACTGGAGCACCTAATCACAAATGACTTAGTTATTTAAATTTGTTGAGAGCAGAGAGAGAACCTGTTAAAGCACTTTGCCAAATACCTCCTTCATCATACTTGAGATTTCTTGCTAGAAACCCTTTGTGAAGACGTTTAAGAATTTAAGAATCCAAGTAATTTTATCCTTCTCCTACTATTAGCAATTTTGAAGTCTTAGTATGAATCTTTCGAGTATTTAAATTACTATTTACCTTCTGTACTCATAATCAATTTTTTTGTTTGAAGCAAATATTCCAATAATGTTGTAGAGAAATAGAAGATCATCATAAGTTATCAAATGATCAAGATGCTGTCCACTCTCCACTTTGTTGATAACGAAAACAGTTTGTTCAATAATCTATGCAGCTTAGGTAATGATCTCATTCTAGGCTCTTTCGACTAATCTTAGTAAAAGATAGCAAGATCTGCTTGATAATTATGGTTCATTACTCATAATTGCTTTGTTTGAGAAGAAGATAGTGACTATCATATTTCTGAAGTTTGGATCCTTGATGAAGTAGGCTTAATATCTCACCAAATTTTCAAGGAACATTAATGATACTATTTTGTGGCTGTATGAGTAAAAGTCAATTCTAATGATGTACTGCATTAGCTAGTAATATTCATTGTCAGCTGATTCTTTTTGATTTGCTGGTATGGCTTGATGAAGGTGAAAGGCAAGGAATAATGGAACCTCTGCATGATTGAAGGCTGTTTTTCCTGGGACAATACTCTCAAATAATTGAGCTAATCCCTGGATGAATAGTTGATGGAATTACTTGACTTGAGCTAAATTCATGAAGACTGTTGAAATCTCTTCTCTATAATGATGATAATCTTCCTCATACTCTGATTAGTCATTGCCTTCGAAATTACAAAACTCTGGATACTTTACTCGTTTTATGATGATTCTTAATAGCTCAATAAATAATTGCTCATAAAACTGTGGAATTGGTGTAGCAGGCTAATCATAATATTTCTTAACTGCTTAAAGCCAAAAATTAATGAAAGTCAGGCAATTTCTACCTATTTTTGGCTTATCAGTGTCTAAAAGATTTAATGCTAATTTTAGGCATCTAGAAAAGATAATTTCGTATTGTTGTTAATGCTAGACTGACGGCAAGAGCTTATCTTAATTTTAGTATATTTCTAGACACCATTAGCCTAATTTATCAACTATTTCTGATACTGCTTCAAAAAATTCTTCTTCGTTTTCTTATTCTTCTTATAGATCAGAGTCTTCTGATGGTCTTTCTCTAAATCTAATTTCAAACGATTCTAAAATATCAAGAAATTGAAGATTGACAATTAACTCGACTTTCTAGGGATAATCCATGCCCTTATAAACAATTGAGTGAAAACAAGATATAGCGTTGGCTCTGTATTTAGGATTATTCAAGAAACTTTTGAATAGCTCTATCAACCCACCAAATAACTCTAGTGCGTTCCAGTCAATTAACTATCCCATGACTTCCAGAGTGTCGTTGACCATTTCTTCATCAAATAACTAATAGTTCTAAAGGACTTGACTTAAAACGAAAATGATATCGTTGATAGCACCTTTTCTAATTCCATCCTTCACTCTTGCCTATTACTCAAGGAGATGAGTAGTCTTATTATCCTGCCTCTCAACTAGCTCTTCTTCAAATACTTCTAAAACTCTCACAATAAAACCTATATATTGCTTAGATCACATGATAAGTGGAACTTACTCATATATAATTTTTGAAGGTTGACATCCTGAGTAATTTTGATAAGAGACAGAAGTTCACTAAAAGCTTCTGGCCAATTATTAGGGAAGTCTTCTCTTATTAATAGCACAAACACCAACGCATATTTAGTCATATAATGCTTTTATAAAAACACAATCTAAGGTTTATCTTTCAGCAGAGAGAAGTACACTTAGTGAAGCATTTACTTCTGTTCTGGACTCACTATCACTTGATTGTAGTAATTATTGATGATCTCGACAATCGCCTATAGCAGCCAGAATCTCATTGCTTAGTCTTCAGTTTCAATAAAGAAATTGAAAAAATCAACTACGTTGGCTGCATATTGCTTGATGAATCCGTTACAATACTCCTGTGCTTGCTACTTGATGTCCTGACTGACCTTGGAAGGGTTGTAAAGTATATTAATAGCGTTCTAAAGATCTTATAAATTCATTTTATAATTAATGAGCCATTTAGTAATAATTAAAGTTAAATAAACCAATAATTTCAATTTAGCACTATTACTTCAAGATTATGATAAATTAAGTTCACTCAGACTATCTTTTCCAAAAGCATTAATCACTACTTTTTTTGATAGCATTTATTCATTCTTAATTCGAATTAGCATTCAGGTGCGACTTTGGCTAACTTTTCTTTCACCTTTTGTTAATCATATCCGGCGATACATGTTACAAATCTTTTGAGATTTTATATCTTTAATTCCTCTTCTTACAAATCAAAGAAACAAATTCCAGTTATCAGAGGACAAGCAGCAATATCGAGAAGCCTGAGTAAAGGTAGCTTCTTCAACACTGGCAGCATTCCTTAATCATTTATCTAATCTGAGTTAATTTCGAGCATTTCTAATTTCTGACACATCTCGCATAAGTAATTTAATAGTTCATTATAAGCATACTAGCCCAAAGTTAAATACCTTAAAGTATTTTTCATTGAAAAAAACACTAGTTCAAGCTCTCTATTTCCTGCAACTGAAATTGATTGGTTGTTAGAATCATCTGGTAGTTCTACTTCAAAAGCAAGATTATGATAAGTTCCACATAAACTGAAAAATTGCAAATTTTTAAACTTTTTAATGTTTTCCAATTCCTCCAATTTAACCAAATTCTTTTAAAAGAATTGACATATCACTAGTTTAATTAAGGTATCCTTCTCAGACTTTCTAACTAAAATGTCTATCACATGTTAATCTGCTTGATAAATCACCAATTATTCCAAATTGAATTACTTTTTTGACAATATCTGCTTTATAACACTCAGTTTCTAGGCTTAGTAAATTCCATTACCAAGTATTTTTTCATTGTAAGGATTTTCTATATCACCCAATTAAAGATCTTTAAGTTTCCTACATCCAACCAAAGATGAAATTATTATTTCGTTGAATCCTATCATTCCATAGCTTATTTTAAGAATCCTTAAAGTCTTTTAGCATGCAAAGATTAGTCTAGATAGCATTTGATCCTGAAAGTTTGTGAAATTTAGCAAGTTTAATTCTATCAATTTAGGAAATGTAACCATATGATTATTAAGACTCTTAAGAGAAATCATCGTAAAATTTTGCTTTAGATTTAAGAATTTGATCATTCTAGATTTTTCCAGCAATCCGAAAAAGATCTTATCAGTAATTTCCTTTCTATTAAAGCTTAAAGATGATTTTTTCTTGTCAATTAGTTTCTATAGGTCTTTGTTTGTTCTTTTAAGCTTCTTTAAATCCATCTCCATAGAAAAAGCTATCACTAAATTTATCATATCCCAGGGCAAATCATTCATAGAAATCTTTTTCTTGATCTCTGCAGTGCTACTAGGACTATCTATTATCATTTGCGATTCATTTTGTCTCATCTGCTAAGAGTTTGAGGTGATCCTATCAGTTGACTCCTCAGTTATCCTCTTAATCTTTTACCTTGGATTATTCATAATTTCTCTTGCATTTGTTATTTCATTTAGCTTTCTTTTCTTTGATTCTAACATCCTCTTTTCCTCCATCAATATTTTCCTATGATCAAGATTCATCGCCCTGCTTTAATTTTAAATTTAGATTTATCTCTATTGTTAAGCTTAGTTATTCAATGGCTGTACAGGCAATGGCTATCTTATAGTACTTAGATTTTATTGAGGAATTTTTTAAGCAGGCTACTATTAGATCTGCTACTAACACTATTATTATTGAGAAGGTTTTGCCTAATTAGGGGAACTTGTTTCATCTTTTAATATTTTACAGAGGCTTTCAGCTAAATTCTGTTCAATATTGCTTAAGAAAACTTTATATGTCACAGGTACACTATATTATTCGAATTATGGACTTGCTGTAATATTTCGTCCAATATTATTAGACTTTTGAATATTCTACTGTGAATTTTATACAACTTGTTTTATTATTTGAAAAGAAATCCTTCCATTAGATGCATTTTAAGTAAATATTCCTTAAATTTCTTTCATGGTAAACTCAAATGCCAAGTCAAGAGATTTGGCAAATTTTATTACGAAATTTAAGAAATTCTGAGACTTTCCATTTTCCTCTTTTATAATTCTTTGAATCAAAAATACCTTATTTTTATCTTTCTTCTTTATTTCCATGTCTGGATAGTTATTTTTTTCAACATCACAATTACAATTAAAAGATAGAATCTTTTATTTATTTTGCTGGATTCCTGGCGCTGGATTTCCACTTTTAATTCCCCCTCTTTCTTTTGAAATGCTTGAATTTTATTGCTAGTTAGAATTGGCGGTAGTTTATTGAAAACTCAAAGCCTATTATCTCATTTTAATTTGATTTTATTTTAAATATTAACAAACTTTAAATCACTTATTACTTCAGTTTGATGGGGTTTTGGGGTTTTGGGGTTTTGGGG